CATATAGTTTTCTTTATGAAGGTAAACAGATCGTGTTGCTACCAACTCAGGAAACAGGGGATCCGGTGGTGTCTAGTACAGACTTTGTCTCTCCTTCTTCAGCTCCACTCAATGACAGTTCGGTTTTACTTTTGTCTAAGTCTGACTTTGTGGACGAAGCTCGTAATGCAGATGTTATGTATGCTTTAGTTCCTGCTCCCAGTGAGTCTGATTTTGTCAGTGAAGCACCTCCTGAGTTTCGTCTGCTTCTTGATGAATTTCGTGATGTGTTTCCTCTTGAATTACCGGCTGGTCTTCCTCCATATTGTGACATACAGCATTGTATTGATCTGGTCCCTAATGCAGTTTTACCAAATCGACCTCATTATCGAATGAGTCCGCAGGAACACGATGAGCTTTGTTGTCAAGTTGAAGATCTGCTTGTTAAGGGTTATGCACGGCAGAGTTTGAGTCCATCTGCATTGCCAGCTCTACTCATTCCTAAGAAAGATGACACTTGGCGTATGTGCGTTGATAGTCAAGCTATTAACAAGATTTCTATGAGGTATTGTTTTCTTATTCCTCGATTAGATGCTCTTCTTGATCAGATTGGTACAGCTTCTATTTTTACCAAGTTGGACCTTAAAAGCGGCTATCACCAAATTCGGATTTGGTCTAGTGATGAGTGGAAAACAGCATATAAGACTTGAGATGGGTTATTTGAGTGGCTTGTTATACCTTTTGGGCTGTTTAATACACCCAGTACATCTATGCGTGTGATGATGAATCAAGCACTGAGACTGTTTTATTGGGCGTTTTGTGGTGGTGTATTTTGATTTAATCCTTATTGATGGGAGTTTTGCGCATGAAAAATTATTTGGAGCGACAAAGAAATGTGTGTTTGGTGTTTCTCAGGTCCTTTTCTTGGGATATATTATTTCTTCTCGAGACTTAGAGGTGAATCCCGCTTAGGTTGCAGCAATCAATCTTGGCCTACTCCTCATTCAGTCACTGATGTGCGAAGCTTCCATGGCTTAGCATCCTTCTATCGGTGGTTTGTGCACCAATTTAGTAGCATTTTTTCTCCTATTACTGACTGCATTAAAGTGACACCTTTTGTCTAGACTCCTGAAGCAGATGCAGCTTTTCAGATCATCAAAACAAAGCTTTCCTCAGCACCAGTTTGGTTTTACCGAATTTTTCAGTGGCGTTCGAAACTACATTGTGATGCTTCTATGCTTGGCATTGGTGTTGTGTTAAGTCAAGAAGGTAAACCCGTAGCATTTTTTAGCGAGAAGATTGCAGGTTCTAGAGGCCGTTATAGTACTTATGATGTTGAGTTATATGTGGTGGTTCAAGGGATCAAACATTGGAGACACTATCTATTTCACCAAGAGTTTGTTCTCTACACGGATTATGACACATTGAAACATCTGGGTCACAAGACAAGGTCTCAGCGTGGCATGCTTCTTGGTTTGCTTATTTGCAGCAATTTACTTTCGTCATTAAGCACAAAGCTGGTACGTTGAACAAAGTGGAGTTTAGGAATTAAAATAAATAGGAAATTAATTAAGTGATAGGAAAATGAAGAACGTAAAACACAAGTAAAATAACTAATGACGCGCTGCATCAGGTCGCCTAGGGTGAGGAAAAATTCGTCCTCGAATTGGAATCATCATCACCATCCAAATAAGGAACCAAATGCTTCACATTAAAAACATATGCCGTATTCATGTGAGCAGGACGACGAAGTCTGTAAGCATTATTGTTAATCTTCTCAATGATCTCTAAGGGACCAATCTTCCGAGCCTTGAGCTTGTTATAATCTCCTTGTGAAAATAAATTCTTAGTTAAGACTGCTCAAACCAAATTCTCAATCATAAACTGGACCTTCCGTCACTTTGCATCCACCACAGCTTTATACTTAACCGTAGAACACTCCAAATTTTCCTTCACTTGTTGATGCAGGGACGTGAACTCTTTGACAACATCACAAGCACAACCATGAAATCGAGAATGATCAGGCAACACGATTGAGTCAACAGGTCCGCGCAGAACAATGCCATAGACCACACAAAAAGGACTAAAACCTGTACTACGATTCACCATATGATTATCGGCAAACTCAGCTTGACAAAGAACCTTATCCCATGTGCGAATATTATCACCAACCAAACATCGCAGCAAATCTCCTAAGGCTCGATTAGTCACTTTGGTTTGACCATCCGTTTGAGGATGATAAGCCGAGCTCATGTCTAGGCTGGTATGCAGAAGTCGCCACAAAGAACGCCAAAAAGGACTAAAAAGCGAGAATCATGATCTGATACAATTGACAAAGGAAGACCATGAAGCTTATACACCTCGTGAAAGAACAAAGCAGCTGCCTGTGATGTATCGGTTGTTTTCTTGCAAGGAATGAAATGAACCATCTTTGAAAAACGATCCACCACCACGAAAATAAAAGCATGTCCTAGCTGTGTTCTCGGTAAAACAAGCACGAAGTCCATGCTTAAATATGTCCAAGGTTGCGTCGGAATGGTAAAG